AGCCACACAGAAACTGTTGCTCAGCATGGGGAGAAAGTGGCCCCTCCACCTCTCCACTGTTGGGCACTTCCTGCTGCAGCTGCCTGGACCCCTCACCAGGCTGCCCTGCATCTCTGCCACCATCACTGCTGCCTCCAGGCTGCCCAGTGGGGCAGCAGTGACAGTGCAGAGCAGACGCAGGGCACCCTGGCATGGGGTCCGGGCGGCTGCAGCAGGAAGCGCCTGCTTCCTGGCAGTGGCGAGGGGAAGGGGCCACTTTTCCCCTGCGTTGAGCAATAATTTCTACCTGGCTGCCACTGCTACTCAGCACAGGCAACTCTGGAGGAGATGCAGGGTGGGCTGGGTGAAGGCTACATGTGTGGGTCCCCACCGGTACTGTGGGATGGTGCCAGCGGAGATGGCTGCCGAAAGGAGCCACTACTGCCTGGGCTATCTAGAAAGGAAGTCCAGCCACGGAGCTGCCCCAGCCCCATTGCATGCCCAGGGGGCAGCAGGATGTGCCATGGTCAGACAGTGCCTGCGCCAGGTGGGACCAAGGGACCCGCTGCGGGCTGGACAAAGAACCTCTGTGGGTTGGATCCAGTCTGTGGGCTGTATTTTGCCTACCCCTGCCTAGCTCCATGGTATAAAAGTCAGCGGCCCTTTTATGCCTTGGGGCACACTCACCAGGGAGCCTGAGGGAGCCTGTTCTTTGTCCAAGAGCCCAGCAGGCCTTGTATGCCCCCGTGGACAGGCTATAGGCTGTCTCTGTATGTCCTGTCCCCTAGCCAGAGCTGCTGCTTGGCCACTCCTTGCCTAGCCCTGAGATCCCCCCAGGGCTGCTGGCTGGCTGTCTCTGGCAGCAGGGTGAGCACCTGCTCCCTGCTGCTGCTCACTCCCAGCAGATGAAGTGCTTCTGCCATGTGGCTCCCAGTCCCTGGCTGTGTCCTGCTGCTGAGCTGTCTTGAGCGGTGTCCAGGGCTGGCCCCACAGGGGCAGCCATGTGGGAGCCCAGAGACCCAGTGTGGGACAAGAATGTCATCCTTCTCATGCTCCCCATCAAGCCCTGGCCCCACCCACATGCATATGCCTGTGCTGACCACCCAGGCCCCAAATGGTCCTGGGAGGAGGTTAGCGACCTTGTGGTGCTCTGGGGCCGTGCTGACATGTAAAGGCAGTTTGTGTGGGGCAGGCCCTCAAACATCCACATTTCTGAGGCCCTGTCAGGTGGCATGCATGGGTGAGGGCATTCCCAGCCGGCACAGTAGTGCCACATTAAAGTCAAGGCCTTGTGGGTACAGTGGATGTCCATGACTGACTACAATCATCAGTCTGGTCATACCCATAAGACCATGGCCTTTGTGCAGGAGCTGACTCATATTTTGGTGCCCCAGAACCCAGGCCACACCCCTGCAAATGTTACCAACAGGGATGGCCTGGCTGAGCCCTCGCCCCACACTGACCTCTCAGCCCTTCAGCACCCCTCCCTGTTCTCCTTCCTGTCTTCTGCATCCACTGGCAGCTTGGGGATCCCTGACCAGCGGTTGCCTTACCCTCGGCCCTATATCCTACCCTGAGGAGTGGCCAGCCATGACACCACCAGCAGCAACCCCTCCTTGGGGTGGGAGAGTCCCTGGCTGGTCAATGGCTTGCCACATACTGTGTGGGCTGCAGACACCAGGTGCAACCAGATGCTGTTGCTGTTGCCTATGGGGAGGCCCTCACCGAACCACCAGCCTTGCCAGCCCTGGACATGCGGTACGTCCTGCACTGGAGGACAGCCCTCCCAGTTCCTGCTCCTAGGCCACTCACCCTCCTTTGGCCCTGGATTCCTTCCCTCCCCTCCCCGCCCCCTAAAGCATGCAGGAAGGTGGGACACAGCTCAGAACTTTATTCATCAGCTTTAATTTCCCCACAGCTGGGTGGGCATGGGCCTCTCACATGCCAAGGAAGCCATCAATGCTAGCTGTGATGTCCCCCTTGGCACCGGGGGAGTGGGGGGCAGAGACATATTGTGCAGCCACAGGTAGCCCTCCAGGCAGCAGCGGAGGTTGCCAGGCAGCCTAGGCTTGCCCCTTGTGCTGTCATAGCTCAGGGTCCCAAACCAGGAGCACAGATCTGCAGGGGGCACCAGCAGCAGCACGGCATAATGGCTCAGGCACCCCTCCAGCAGGGCACACTCCAGGTGCAGTGGCAGCGCAGGGAGAGGCTGGCTCCAGGGTGCCTCCCTGGAGAGACCCCCAGCAGGGAGAGTGGGGGCATAGCCATCCTCTCACCCCAGTTTCTGGGAGCCCCATGCGCCCTAAGCCTGGGCACTATGGTCTGGGAGGCAGCGTGGCATAGTGGTTGGCCTGCAGGGAGAGAGGGTGGGGAGCGGAGTCTGGAGCTGTGGCATCAGTTGCTGCTAGCAGCTTGTCTTATCCCACCCTGGTTACTCTCCCAAGGGAGTAAGCAGGGATGGGGGGATCGGCTAATGGCCGCCTGGGCTCAGGCCTGCCCAGCTGACCAAGGTCCATGGGCACCCATGCACACTCGAACCCCAATTTGAGGCTGAGTAGCACACGGCCCCTGGTGCAGAGTATCTTTTCGTTGAAATTTTTGAACTCTCATAAAAGTCTTCTGTCTCTTGCCTCAGCAGCTAACATCTGGATGCGAGGGAGAACCCATTTGCCCCATCAGGGATGTGGGCTCTGGGTTGCCACCACCCACTGCTAGAGCTGTCCAGATGTGCAAGCAGCACCAATGGCACACCAGGGACCGGACCCTTCTGCTCCACAGCTGCTGGTGGTGGCAGAGGAGTGTGAGGCGCAAGAGAAGGCTCAGGAGGCATGAGAGAAGGCCTGGCAGGTGGAGGATGTTGCCTGGGTGGAGGCACAGGACCAGGTGCAGCAGGACCATTGGGCCTGAATGGAGGCCCTGGAATGGGAGTGCCTGGAACTGCTCCAGCAGCAAGGGATGCCGACCTCCAGGCCATGGACACCGTCCTGGCCTTGGCAGCTGTGTCCACGTTCCCCACTGCCCAGCCCCTGCCCATGGTACCACAGGACCCCTGGGTCTAGCCCACTATCCCACAGCAGCCCCCCTCCCCCCCCTCCAGGCCTGGAAAGAGGTCCTTGAGCATCTCCTGCCTGCCAGACCCCCTGGCCCGGCCCCCTGGACCTGCCACCACCCACCTGGGCACAGACCTAACACTCTCCCCTGTACTATGTGACTGAAGACCCATCCACGCATGAAGTCACCACCTGCTGGAGTCGCCGTGGCCCCTGAACCCACGGGAGAACATCCAGGGGCTGGGGTGCTGGGCACCTGTGCCCAGGTTCTGTCCCCTAGCCCCAACCCATGGTCTCCCAATCTAGGCTTGAAGACCCAAAATATTGTAAATAGTTTCCCACCTGTATATAGTTTCCCAGCTGTATATTGTTTCCCACTTGTAAGCGGGTTGTTTATTATTGGTGGGTGGGGAGGGTGGTGGAGCGGCACTGTTGGTTGAGGAGTGAGGCGGGAGGAATGGGGATGGGTGTTGTGAGAGTAATAAAGTTTTTTTGTTTCACCCATGTGCATGTCCCAAGCGTGGTGCTGGGGTTGTGCAGGAAGTAGGGGGGGTGTGGTTGGCAAGGCAGGCAGACTGGAGTGGGGAGTGCAGGAGGAGGGGGTTGCCTAGGACCTTTCACAGTCAGTGCCCTGGCCTCTGCTGGCGGGTGTGTGGCTGTTTTGGGGTCTGGGCCAGGGGGGGCCTGCTGGGGCCAGCACCATGGCCAGCAGGAGCACGGGGCACTGGTTGTTGTTGTTGGCAGTGGCCAGGCTGGAGCAGAGGGAAGCTGGGTGTCATTGGCAGGGGGTGGGGGCCCCCCGGGGCGGGGGGGGGGGGGGGGGG